ATGGGTTATTATTTAGCTGATGGTATGTATCCTGAATGGTCTACAATTGTTCAAACTATTCGTGATCCTCATTCCCAACAAAAGAAATATTTCGCGATGAAGCAAGAATCGTGCCGAAAAGATGTTGAACGTGCATTTGGAGTTTTGCAATCACGTTTTGCAATTATTGCAAGACCGTCATGTTTTTGGAGAAAGGAAGTGCTACATGATATAATGACTACATGTATTATACTGCACAACATGATACTTGAGGATGAACGTGATCTCGATGCACCAATTCAAGATGTCGTAGAGGCTCCAACTCCAACTATAGAAATGGTGATAGATGAAAATCTCCGGTTTGAACAAATTTTAGCTTGACATAAAAAAATTAAGGACAAAAATGCTCATTTTGAACTCCGTAATGCATTAATAGAGCATTTATGGGAGCAACGTAATAATTTTGAACATTGAGTGTTTATGTAATTGTATGTCACTTTTATTTGAATTTGTCCCCTAATTTATGTATTATATTATATTTTCTTGCAATTTATGTTATTTAAAAATTTAGAATAAAAAATAATTTTATATCACATTAAAAATTATATAAAGTAATTATTTGGAAAAAGAAATAAATAGATTTATATTATGAAATAAGAAAATAAGAATGAAATAGAAATAATAATATAATATTGAGGAGAGAGAAAAAAAATTCATTTTTAGAGAGTAAAATAGAGAATTGGGTTGGAGTTGGCGAAAAAAATAGAGAACTCTATATCTGAAAAGTAAAATAGAAGATTGGGTTGGAGATGCCCTAATTAATCATCATCTTCTTGATGCTCAATAACATTTGCATAATCAAATTCCTTTCATTTCTTGGAGTCATAGCCATTTTTTTACTCTTTTATTCAATCCTCACAGTACCAGATTCAATGCAGAATGTACAACTCAACGAAGCAGACACCAACAAAACTGAAGTTTATTCAGTTTGGGCGATTCCATCGGAAGATGTGAGTGTTAGGGTTAAGAAATTGATGGGTAGTCTTAGATTGGAATTTGGTGGGCCCCAATTTGAACCTCACATGACTGTCGTCGGAGCGGTGAGGTTAACGGAGGAAGAGGCACGTGACAAGTTTAGAAAAGGGTGAAGAAGGTGTATAGTGTTAATGTGGAGAAAGTTGATATTGGGACTTTTTTTTATCAATGTGTTTATCTTTTGCTTCATCCAACTAATGAGGTAAAAAAAAAAATCTTTTTATTGTTTGAATTGTTAGTTTTAGTCGTAGTATTGCTTGAGTAGTTTATTGTCCTGCAATTTGATTTATGTTATTATCTGTTTGATTCGTTGTATCTCGATTATTGTATTGTATTGTTACTATATGTTGATTCATAGTGCCTTGGTTTTTGTTCCAATGTGTTGATTCTTTATACCTCGATTGTCCTATTGTTTATGTTGATTTATAGTCCCTTGATTTTTGTTCCAATGTGTTGATTCTTTATACCTTGATTGTCCTATTGTTTATGTTGATTTATAGTCCCTTGATTTTTGTTCCAATGTGTTGATTCTCCATACCTCGATTATCGTATTGTTTTGTGAGTATATGTTTGTTACTATATGTTGATTCATAGTGCCTTGATTTTTGTTTCGATATGTTGATCCTGTATACCTTGATTGTCGTATTGTTTTGTTACTATATGTTGATTCATAGTGCCTTGATTTTTGTTCCGATGTGTTGACTATTTATACCTCGATAATCGTATTGTTTTGTTACTATATTTTTGATTCCTTGTACCTCAATATCTATTCACGGTGTGTTGATTTCTTGTACTTCAATCATCGTATTGTTTTGTTACTATATGCTACTATGTTGATTCCTTTGTACCTTGTCTGTTCCTACATGTTGATTACTTGTTTATCGTAATGTTTTGTTATTGTCTACTACTATATGTTGAATCCTTGTACCTCAATTTCGGTTTCTATGTGTTGATTACGTGTACCTTGATTATCGTACTGTTTTGTTCAAATTTTTATCAAGTGAGTTTGTTTATCTTTTGCTACATCCCATCACTGAGGCAAAAAAGATCTTTTTTTTTAAAAAAGATTTTTATTTGAATTATTAGTAGTATTGTTTTAGTAGTTTCTTGTTCTTCGATTTTTTTTACTATATATTGATTATTTGTACCTCGATTATCATATTGTTTTGTTACTATACGTTGATTCCTTGTACCTCGATTTATGGTCCTATGTGTCGATTGCTTGTACCTCGACTATCGTACTATTTTGTTGTCATCTGCTACTATATGTTGATTCTTTATACCTCTATGTGTTACCAACACTATGTGTTTTCACTTTTGAAGGGTCAAAATTATTTAACTTAGGGAAATCAAGCTTTTAACCTGTAGAACTGTCAATGTAATATCGACCTTGCAACTGGAAAAGGGAAAACAGAATCCATATTTAGGAACTATAGAAGTTTACTTATTCTTTACCATGATTTTTTTTCTTTTAATGTATGATCACTTTTAAGTTGTGTTGCTGAGGAGTGACATGAAATTCCTTTCTTCCAGGTTGTGGAGGCTAGCGCACGCTGCTGCAGCAGCTTTGGTTACAACAGCTCAAGTCGTAAGATATACATTCTTTCTTTATATTTTCTGGCATTTTTATGATTTAGTCGTGGTGTCCGGACCAGCTTGCGTGCACCTCGACCATCACAAGAGAGCTAGGTTTTCTATTGCTGATGTTCAGTTTTATGACCATTCAGCATATGAGCATTCTATATGCCGATTTGACGGATGAAGAAAAGAAGAAAGCTCAAGAGAAGCCTTGATGAGAGCATTGACAATTTGAGCTTCCAGATATCACGCCTTGCACATGTAGATTGTTTGTGAAATTCTACCTACTTTTTTTTTGAATAAAATACTAATTAACCAATTTTGTGCCTTGAGATTAAAGATGAAAGTTGGCTCTAACTTGCTTTACAAAAATTGAATGTTAAAATTTGTATTAGTTCTAAACAGTGCTTTTAAAAACATTTTTTGGGCCGAGTCCCCGATGAGTCTCAGGGCGGGGCGTACCAAAAAAGCCCAGGCCACAAATTGAAGACGTAGATCTATAGGGCGTAAGTCTTAGAATTTGAGCGCAATCTCCAAGTGTAAAAACATACACCCTTGGGCTTTTTTTTTTTTTTTTTTTGTTTTGGTTTTTGAACCTTTTTTGCTTTAAATCATATTTTTTTTATTATTGATATAATGATATTTCTCAAATAGTAATTTTTTTCTTCATTAAATGTTATTAATATCTTCTCAATAAAGTCAGAATATTTTTTCTATAGATTATAGGTTATTTATTAAAATTTATTTGTAAAATAATTGAAAGTTTTCTTTTGCTTATTTTCTTAGTAATGAAATTATAAAATTTAATATACATGATATTACGTCCTCTAGATCCATAAGACTTACACTCTATGGACTCGTTTGGTAGGTGGTATTAAATCAAATAGTCCATGGATTAAAATTTAATCCATCTAATACACTGTTTGGTTACATTATTTTATTTAATCCATGGATTGCTTATACATTATATATGGTCTTATTTTATCCCTAGTAAATGGAGGGATAACTAATCCAAGGTTTGTTAAACCTTGGATAAGACCCCTAAATGACAAAATTATCCCTTTATTCATTTTCCTAAATTTCTTTTGTAATTTAATTTTCTTTTTATTTATATTGAATAATTATAAATGTTCTTTTTAATTCTCCAAATTCATTTAGTGTAATTTAATGATTTCATTAATATTTTTTTCTCCTTTTTTTTTCAATGTAGTTTGTCGATTAACCACGTGGACTATTTTTTTAATAAGCTTTAGCTATTGAACAATATAAGTAGTCTTAAATCTATGTTAAGTTTAAGATATACTTGACCAACAAAAAAAGTGGTACATCATACCTCAAATTTTATTTATATATATATTGGATACCCTTTTTCTCTGTTCCAGGTACAAGTCAAATTGAATTTACAAAAACAAATTCAGTGTTATATAAGATAGAAAATCCTAAAAAAAAAAATATTGTCCCACAACAACTTTGATTAATTATTATCCGGGTAAGGGATTTTGGTATAAAATTGTATAAGTATATTTTTAGATCTTCACTTTTGATAAGTTTAAACTCTTTTGTCAACATCCGGTTGCCATATACAATAATTATACAGGTTAAAATTTGTAAAAATAAATAAATAAAGATTTAGCATTTTTTTTACTATGAATTTTATTCAACTGTTGCGTAGTATTAAATTCTTGTTATTAATTATGCACAAAAAAGAAAAAAATTGTTTCAATTTATATAACACTCTTTTTCTTTGTTGTTATTTTCTAAAAAAAAATTACTCTAGTGTTATGGTCCGGTTATCTACCTTCACTCAATTAAATGAAATAAACAAGCTCATCATAACATAAGGGTATAATAGGATTTTTTTTTTTGTAGAGTTTTAAATAAACACAAGATTAAGTGGGAAACAATGAACCAAACACTTGACAAAAAATAATCCCTGCACTACTAATCCCTGCATTACTAATCCCTGCGTTATCAATGTTTGTACCAAACGATCCCTATGTCTCAAGGCTTACGTCTCGCTCCGTACTACATAATATGTCTCGCCTCACTCTCCCGCCTTTTAAAACACTAATTCTAATGATGATTGTTGTTAGATGTGAAAAAGGAGATAAAAAGTTTTATATGTTTGTTCTTCCAATAGAAACTCTAAGCAGAAGAATCGAGTTGAGTTTATTTTGATTACTGTATCGGGTTTAATGTGTGGAGCAAGTTATTATATTTAAAGAAAAATTAGCAAATTAGTCAAACTATCTAACATAATTATTAAAAATATCTATATTTTAAAATAATTATTGAAAATGTCAACATGTCAATATTTTAGCAAATAAAATGTATCCTAATATAATTAATTTTATTTCCTTTTATTTTTCAAATCAGGCCCCATATTGGATTAATTTTACTCTCCTATCTGTGAAAAGAAGAAAAAAAAAACTCCCATTACCCACTTTCCCCTCTTTCTAAGTTTTTACCCCAAATTTCTCCTTTCTCTCTATTGAGTTTTTCACCATTGTTCTCTCCTTTCCTTGTCTAAGAAAATTATCTCTTCTATTTTCCTCCACTTTGTTCATGAAATCTCACAATTCCTTCAAAATATTTTTCACCCACTGATAAAGGTAAATACATTGTCACCAAGTATCTTTTGAGATTTCTCTCTATTATGTAAAGACACTATTAATTAAAACAAAAAAAAATTGGGTGCTGAAGATTTCGAAAAACTTGTTGAAGACCAAGTTGAGGAAGAACAATTTCCTATAGAAAAAACTTATCCG